CCTCACCCTGGGCCCAGCCCTGGAGAGCAGAGCTGTGGCTGGGAATGTATTTACTTAGGTAGACAGGATGAGAAAGGTTGTGAATGTTTATTCCAGGACGCCTTCCCTGGTGGGCCTTGCAGAGAGAACCAAGCCCACTCTGCCGCCCTGAATGTTCTCCAGGCTGAGCACCATTAACGATGGTTTGCGTGCGCTGATTGATTAATCATTGTGACAGCCTGGCCAGGTAGGTACTAATATTAGCATTCCTTTTTAAATACGAGGAAACGAAGGCGCAGAGAAGTTAAGTAACTTGCCCAAGGTCACACAGCTAGGGAGGGGTGAGCTGGGATTTGAATCTGGGGTTTGTGGCTGGGTCCAAGGCTGAGTTCACGGCTACATCCTACAGCGTGATGGTAGCGAGGCAGGAGAAGGTAGAAGGCAGAAATACTGGCTGCGGGACCTTGGACTGTCCTCTAACCTCGCTGAGCTTCAGTCTTCCTCTCTTAAGATACAGCTTGTAACACAGGCCTTCCTACTTCTCAGCCCTGTCCTTGGAAACCCAAGGAGAAAAGACATTTACACAATTACAGTGGAGGACGGATTGTTCTAGAGGTTCCGCTGTGTCTCCTAGCGTCTCCTTAGGGCCATGGGCTTGGAGCTGTGTCTGTGATTGTTCTGAGGGGTCCTGGGGTGTGAGCTCACCTTTCCAGGGGACGGAGGCTCTTCATCTGCACCCCCTCCTACTCCCCATGTGCCCAGACTAGTCCTAAACTAGTCAGTGCCTAGGCTGGAATCCATGCTTTCTGACTCCCATCCCCATGGCATGACTGTTTTTTTAGGCACGAGGGTCACGGCCCGGCACAGAAAAGCACCCAGGAGCTATCTGTAAGCATTTTTCATCTTCGCCCCTGCTGACCGCAAAGAAACGCGTGTGATCAGTCTCCCTCACCCAGTGGCGGGCCGGCATTCATCCCAGGTGGGGAGACCACCTGTCTGCAGGGCTGTTTGGACATGGAACTTTACAGGCCGGGGTGTCCACTGGTTCTCTCTGAACCCTGACCCCAGCAGGTAGCGCTCTCCCACCCCATTTTGACTTTCCTCTTCTTGCCCTCAAGCGGCAGTGTGGTGAGGGGACCCTCTCAGAATCGAGTCCTGGCTCTGCCTGTGTGACTTAGGTGAGTCACCCCACCGGCTGAGCCCAGTTTTCTCATCTGTGCCGGGGGGATGCGGGCTTCAATTTGCAGGCTGGGACGAGGATGGGAGATGACGGTGTGCGCTGCCCAGCCCAGCGACACTTGGGAGAGAGCACTGGTACTCTGGGGGAGGATGGTTTTGCCAGGTCTCACCTTTCCCACACCCAGAATCTCTGGAAGGTGGAGAGGTGGCTGGACAGCGGATTCTTCAACTTCCACAACCGGAGCCAGAGGCCCCGGGATGAGACACGTGTGCAGAGCGAGGGAGGGGACCCGGGTGTTGAGTTGCCCTTCTCCGCCCCACCGTGGCCACCAGGGCTGGGCGAAGCCTTCCTCCTTTTAGGATGAGTGCTATTCTCAACTGCCCGCCGGGAGATTTTAGCGCTCCCCTAACTCCTGGCTTCAGGGCTCAAAGGGCGGCACATAGTGGTGTCCGCTTCATGACGTCACGGAGGAAAGAGCTTCAAGACTGCAAAGCCATGTGGCGCAGCGTGAGGGGTGGTTGTCAGTGCCGGCCCGGGGAGCTGCAGCTGGGTGTCAGGAAGGGGTGAGCCTGGGTCTCCCCACTCCACGCTCCCTTCGGCCCTTCTCTCTGTCCCTTGCTCTCTGCCAGGGGCCTGTAACTACATCTGCACATCTTAGCAGCAGCGGCACTGTGTAGCCTGGTGGCCGCATGGTGACAATCGTGGTTATAACCGTGTCCAGAAGGTGCCTGGAGCCCAGGGTGACGTGGGGTCTGAGAGGGCAGGAGGAGCAGGGCAGGAGTCCCCCTGTGCGAGGTGGTGGAGGGGCAGGGGCCGGGCTGGCCGGATGGCACAGGGGAGAGCATTTGGCCAGGAGATTACTTGCCAGAAGCCATTCCATTCTGTGGCCTGTTTTTCCCTTCCTTAAAATGATCGCATAGAATATTAATTGCAGGAGTAACTCCCACTGATTGAAAGTGTATTATTTGTGGGCACTGGTGAGGTGCATTGGTGCATATGAGCTCAAGGAATTCTCCAGGCACACCTGGGAGGTGCGTATTATTAGACATATTTTTTCCTTTCTTTTTTTTCAATTGAGGTAACATTGGTTTACAAAATTATATAAATTTCAGGTGTACATCATTATATTTCGATTTCTGTGTACACTACATCATGTTCACCACCCGAAGTCTAATTATCGTATTAGACACATTTTATAGATGAAGAACCTGAGCTGCGCAAGGCACAGAGAGGGCCAGTCACTTCCCTGGGGTCACACAGCAATCAAGGGCAGAGCCAGGATTTGAATGTGGTCTGTCTGACACCATAGCCTATGCTTGTCATTAAGTCACGCTGCCTCTCACAGTGATGGGCCCCCCCATAGCCTGCCCACACTGTAAGGACCTAGGTGCGTCTGGCATTTTCTACATGCTGCAGAGAAGGGCTCAGATGGACCCGGCTCCCAGCCTGAGACAGCAGTGAGAGGCAGGTGGCAGGAACTCGCACTGCCTGACTTTCCCCTCAACCCTTTTCCCCTCCCACTGGATCTCAGAACTGCAGAGTTCCAAAGCTCCCTCAGGGGTTTGGGCCAGGCCCCCACATGTTACAGCCACCTGGGGTCATCCCTGGCAGCATTACCTGGGGTGGTCCAGGACCTGCAGAACCCGCAGTGTGTGTGGGGGAGTTCAGGGTAACCCCACCTTGGGGGTCTGTGCCTGGACAGGTTAGGAAGTCAGGCAGTACGAGTCCCTGCCACCTGCCTCTCACCCCCATCTCAGGCTGGGATCCTGGGTCGGTCTGAGCCCTTCTCCGCAGCATGAAGAAAATGCCGGATGCACCTGGGTCCTTATCAAAGGCCTTCCGCCCACCGTCAGTGCACCGTGCTTGCTCACTCTGCAAGTGTGCCTGGGCACAGCCCATGCCTCGGCTCAGGGCAGGAGGATACCTGCGGGTCTGGGACAGGGCCAATGCACCTGTCTGGCGTGGTTTCCAGGGAGCATCCTCATGCTAGGTTTGTGTGTAAGTGAGAAGGAGTGTGCGTATGCGGTGGGGGTCAGTGGGCTGAGTCCCGGACACGTAGATCCCTATCACAGCCGGAAAGAAGCATTTCGGCTCCACGGACACTGGCTTCCCTTCTTTAATCTTTTTGATCTGCAGAGCCAGCCCAGGGGAGACTGTCAACTCATCTCAGGGGCTCTCAACTCCAGAAAGTTCCTACAGTCTCCTATGAGCCAAGGGCTTGGAGCAGACACTCCCCCTGACGGCCCAGACGGACTGGTGTCCTGGAAGGCAGTTCCAACTGCACACGCACATACCACTCCCAGCCCCCCCCACACCACACACACCACACACACACACATTCTCTCCTGCATACAGGTGAGAAAAGAGGCAGACCAATCCAGACATACACATCTGCACACACACGTGTGTGCACACACATGGATACATGAATTTGCACACACACGCACACGTGTTTTCTCCCACATGCAGGGGGACAAAGAGGCAGACCCATCCAGACACATTTGCGCACACACGTGAATGAACCCTCACCCATGCACACACCCGTGCACACACACTAGTGCACACACACAAACGCGGGCCGTCTCTCTGGAGGCTGACCCACAGCTCCTGGCCGATCTGCTGGACTCCGGGCACCGGCTGAATGAAGCTCCCCGGATCCTCCAGCGGCCGACAGCAGCCCTGGTCCATCATTTTAACTCAGTGCTTCTCAGCTCTTTGGAGTAAGCTGAGCTGCCTTCAGTGCTGATTTATGGGGACAATCCGTCCTCCACTTCTGATTATGGTTGTTTTCCATAATTATTATAAACACTCTTTGCCTCACTTGAGATTTTCTTTTAGATTTTTCTCCCCCACTTCTCTCCAAGAAGCAAGCTCTCTCCTGTGCTGAATCAGAGGTGTGCCTCTGTGGGCTCTGGTAAGAGGGTGACCCCCATTTTTTTCAAATTTCGGGGCTCATTAAGGCTTTCTGCACTCCCATGTCTCACTGTGTGACCTTGGACCTCTCTCCATAAAAACCCAGAAGGAAACAGCCCATAATGAGGCCTGTTTCTAGCACACAGCAGCTATTTTAGGATGGGGGTAGGTCTGGGAGGGGATATGGAGTCGTAGGGGAGGGTGTTGATTGGTCCTCTGGGGCTGTTCCCTGAGACGCCCTTGGGTCCTTCTGAAGCTGCCCCTCCCTTCCTCCATGTGAGGAAGCCCTTCTGGGAATTGATGGAATTGGGGAGAAGTCTCTTACCCCAAAGGCTCGGTGAGGGCCTACCCCTTTATCCTCTGCCCGCCTGGGCCTTTCAGCTACCCGACTTGTCATCTCCCCTCTCCCACCATAAGGTATCTCTTGACGCCCCCTGAAGATCGTGGGGAGCCCCGTTCTGTTATGGCTCCAGGGCTGAGAGGGTTGGAGGATGGAGAAGTTAAGGTCATGGGGGGCCCCGAGAAGTCTGCCAAGAAGAGAGTCACAGCTGGAGAGGTTCAGGTTGTCCATTACAAAGACCCCCAAGTGTGGGGCTGACTCCAGAGGAGGCTCTCGAAGCAGCTGATGGGGTCTCCTTTTCAAAAGCGAAGGAGCTGGTCCCATATAAAGAGTGCTGAACTCAGAGCCAGCAGATGTGTCACTTATCAGCGGTGCGACCTTGAGAGCTCCTGCCACCTCTCCGGGCCGTGGTTCCAACAACGGTAAAATGAGGACGCTGGCCCAGATCAGCCGGAAGGGCTACCATGAGAACCTAATGAGCATGGAGGGCTGGGATTGGCTCTGGCCAGAGCGTGGCTGGTGGGTGAGGACCCCGCAGCCCCTCTCCTGCTTCACCCCCGCCCTGCCCAAGTCCCCCGTGGTACTCACAGGCCACCTGGACCTCGGTTTGCCGCTGCAGCAGAGCGCCCATCCGGTTACGCACGATGCAGCGGTAGAAGCCGGCGTGGGTGCGGTCCAGGCTGGTGATTATGTACCTAGGGGGCAGATGAGACAGCCAGTGAGCAAGTCAGGCAGCTGCAGGGATGCACAGGTCAGACTGGGGTCAGAGGGCAGAGGTCACCTGCCACGTCACCCTCTTCCGGAATGAAGAGCCAGGGAGCTCTTGACTCTCTAGCCGTTTCATGGGGTCACAGAAAGGTCCTTATCAACAGGAGGGTCCCTCTCAAAGGCAATGAGGCTTTTGCTCAGGTGCCTAGCAAGTAGCCTGCACTTTCCCGGGACAGGAGGTGCGGTGCCTGAGCCCTTGACCCTGGCCGTGATCAGGCCTCCCAGGCCTGTGTCGGGTCTGTTGGAGGCTGCTGTCCTCCCCTGCCTGTGACTCAGAGGATTGAGAAAGGTGGGGCATCTTATTTTGGCCAGGGCCTGGGCCTGCCCAGGACTGTGCTGTAAATATTAATTGAAATGGATGGAGGTGACAGAGGCAGGAAAATTTACATGTTTCCCCAAAAGCTTTGCATCATTCCATTATTAAAGTTGCAGACGCTCCACTGTAGCTTGTGGAGGGAAAAGGCAGAGGCTTCTGAGCAGGACAGGTTGGCTGTCTACATGTGTGGGCCCTGGGGCCGGTGCAGGAACCCGAGGAGGCCCCTTGGATGCCTGCTCTGGGAGCACCTGACTGGCCCAAAGAGCATCAAAGTCTGTTCTCGGGGAAAAGGCTGCTGGAGAGCAGGTGTGTGGTGTGTGGTGTGTGGTGAGCTCACCTGGCTGAGAGGCAGGGGGGAGCCAGGCCACGTCAATGAAAAGAGCTTCTGGCATTGGGACATGCCTGAGTGCTGCTCTCCGCTATGGAGGGGGCTAGTTCCCCTAGCACCCGCTCTGTGATCAGCTTTCCCAACCCTGGGCAATGAGCAGCCCAGCAGGGACCTCAGAGGATCCAGGGGCTCATGCCTAGGATACCTCTCCTGTCCTCAGGTGTCCTAGGGTTTGCCCAGCTGACTTGGTGGACAAGCTTATTGTCACCTGTCCCTAGGCTATGCCAACCCCGAGATGGAACAACGTTATTCCCAAGAGGTACCAAGTTTTCTTTTACACGAGTTCCGGCCAGGGCCTAGCATCATCATCATCACCATCATCACCATCACCATCATCATCATATCACCATCAGCATCATCACCTCATGATGATGAAACCACAACTACCACTTTCTGAGCACCACCTATGCCGCAGACGCAGTATTGAGTACTTCTCATTCGTTTCTTCATTTCACACAGCAGTTCCCAGACTATCGGATATCAGGGACCAGGAACATTGAAAAAGAAGGGCGCCACATGAGACCATCATCTTTGCCAAGTAAGATCATTAAAACCAACCAGCCAAAAAGCAAACAGACAAACAGTCAAGCAACAAAAAACTAAAAACGATAATATGAAAAAGTACCAGGCAGGGAGAGAAAAATAAATAGAAATGGTCAGTATTTTATTTAAAAAGGACATTTTTGACATCACAATAAAGAAACGTAACCTCAGCATAAAAGCAATTTCAACAAATTTTAAACATAAATTTATGTGAAGCCCACTGTGCCAGCTTCACTTTTCTCATTTTCTGTGGACAGGTGCAAACAGTCGAGGGTCTGCATTTGAGAGTCTTTCTCTTAACCTCCATGCTAATCCCATGGAGGGGGTACTTTTCTTAGTACCTCCATTTTAGAGGTGAGGAAACTGAGGTTCAGAAACATCTCAACATTGACCTGTGGTCTCACGGGTAGTAAGAGGCAGGGCCAGGCTCCCCCAGAGCCTTTCTGTCCCCAGGCCCAGCTGCTAACCATTCAACACTGACACCGTATCTCGAAGGCCTCACCTTCCACCCGGGACTGCATAAGCCCCAGACTCAGGTGGGTGTGTGCCGAGCTTGCTCTGGCTCTGGCTCTGCAGCATTATCCAGAGCCTTCTGGCTGTCCAAGCCTCTTATCTCTGCCACCAGCTGCCGCTCTTATCTGTCCCTTGCCACTGTGCACAGTGTGATGATGGGAAGATAGCAGGCACCCAAGATCTGACAAATTTCCCATTCTCCTTCCACCCTGTCCTCAAGCCTATTGCAGGCTCTCTCTTGCCTCTGCCCCATCTCTCCTGCAGGGAGGGGAGACAGCTTTGGGAAAACTGTTTGGGTCTCAGAAGCAATGGGGTGACCTGAGAGGGAAGATGGAAGGAGAGATTGCCCGGAAAAGCTCTCTATCTTTGGAAATGGAATCAGATATTATTAAAAAAGCACAAGGAAAATGAACAGAAATGGCCAAAAAACTCCCAAAAAGATGCTTGACCTCTGTCACAATGAAAGTCCAATTAAAACAAGACAATGTTCACATATCAGATTGCCAAAGATTTTCATGATGATCACACCCAGTGTGGCAAGATTGGGAAGGGGTACCCTCAGGTTGGCTGGTGGAAATGTAAATGGGTCCAGGCTTTGGAGCACAATCTATCAAAATAAGAATATGCAAGCCTTTGACCCAGAGGTTGCACTCCTGGGAACCCGCCTTTTAGATACGCTTGCAAAAATGTGGCAAAAAACTGATACAAGGATGTTCACTGTGGCATTGCTTGTAATAACTGAGATAAACAAAAACTGGGAGCAACCTAAACATCCATCAGAAGTGGAATTCCATCAATTAATGATGCTGCAGTCACAGAATGAATGAGGAACACCTGTATGGGGTGAGCTAGAACGTTCTCCAGGATGCACAAAGCATGGAAAGGAAGTCAAAGCTGGAGAGGGGGGATGTTTATGGAAACAGAAACATGAGGAAGTAAGAAGGCAAACAATATCACAGCTGAGTGCTAGAGACAAGAGTGATAATGTACTCTTATCACTCTTAATAGCTTGTTTATTGATACAGGCTGCCAAATCCTTAGTTTAATGTTTAGCATCAGGCAAATTGACCCAATAAAAATAATTTGAGTGTGTGGCCAAAAAAAAAAGTCAAAGAATGGTGTAAATGGTATGATGCCATGAGGGTAAAGTGAAGTAGTATCTATATTTGTATATATTTGCACACACATAATCACACTTACACTCTGGCGTGTCCATAAAATTTTTTCGAGATGGATACTCCAGAACGTGTTATCTCCCTTTTGGGAGAGGTATCGGGGATGGGGAGGGAGGGGAACTTCTACTTTTCAATTTTATGTCTTTCTATGCCATCAGAATTTTCTTTATCGTATGCATATATTGCTTTTATTTTAAAAATAAAATTAAAAAATGCACTTTGAGCATATACTGTAAGTATACATTATAAAAAGGACACCAGGGACTCATTGGATCTGGGTTTGTTTGCTGATGTCAGTGACGCGTGGTGAAATTTAAACTTCAGTACAGGTGGATTTCTGCAGAAGGTTCTGTGTCCATTTGCTTCAGCCAGAACCTCTGGCCCCACCTGGAGCCCCGAGGAAGGCCAGCTGGCTGCAGGCCTGCCCGCCCCTGAGGCCAGGAGAGGCGGGCTGGCTCTGGGTCTGTGCTGGTCCTGTAATTGAGGGCAGGCGCTCTTTGGCCTAGCAGAGGGGGTGCAGCCCCTCTCTGGCTCCTCTGCCTCCTTCTCCCCGGGCTGCCTCTAGTGCTTCCCGCCTGGGAGACCTATTTCTGGTTTGTAGGCAACATTATTTAAAGTAACAGTTCCGCCCACTGCCTTTCCTCCCAGGGAAACCCGCTTTACTCCACCCAAATTGCACCTCCCAGGCGCATGGAAGAGGCGGTTGGCCAGCATCTCAGCTGCAAATCCAGCTTGCTGTAAGCATCCCTGATAATGACAGTAACAGTGCTCATTATCCCCCGCAGTGCTCCCTCCCGGGCCCCCAGGAGACACTTGCCTACAGCTCTATCTGCCCCACCCCTCTGTGGCTGCTGGCCTGCGGGGGGAGCTGGATGAGCCCAGCCCTGTCCAGGGGCAGAGGATGGATGAAATGCCCTATGCAGCAGGACCCACACCTGACCCGCCCAAGAGGGAGCATGGTGTTAGAGAAAGCGCCGGGACTTCCGACTCAGGGAAACTTAGGCTTGACTTTTGCTTCTGCTCTTAGGAGTGTGGCCTGGGCAAGTTACAGAAACTTGTAAGCCTCAGTTTTCCCATCTGTAAAATGAGGACAATGACGGCTGTCATTGATGTGAGCATTACAAGAGGCCCTGGACATAAGTGCCTGGCACATGGCAGGTGCTGCATAGATGCTTGTCCAACGAAGGAGCAAAGATATGAGTCATTGGTGGGGAGTGGAAGGTATTGGGGTGAGGTGGGGAGGTTCAGAGAGGAGGACAGGAGGGTGTGGCCACACCCCCCACAGCTGAGTGGAGATCCATTAACGGCTGCATGCCCAGCATCAGGGGAGCACATATTTGCCCGGCTGTGTGTCCTCAAGGTGGAGAGCCTGAGCCTGGCTCCTCCAAGGATAAGGACCAGTGATGGTGGGTAAGTGGCACCTCCTCCTGGTTGACCTGCAACCTCCTTCTCCTTCTAATAAGGAACAGGGGCAGCAGCATGGCTCCAGGGGCTGGTGAACACCTGGATTCACCCACCTCTAGGCCCCCCCTAAGGTATTTATTGATGTGTTACAGGAAATATATTCACAGGATTCAAAATTCAAAGAATAAAAGAAAAGACAGAGAGTGAACATCTCTCCCATCCCTCTCCCCCAGCTGCTCGGTCATTCCCAGGTCCCAACACACACATGGAGGAAACTACTGTTATTAGTTTCCTGAGTATCTTTTCACAATTTCTTTACACAAATGCAAGCCAGTGCAAATTTATAATCGTTCCCCTTTTAAGCAGGAGCCGCGGCCTCCTGTACTCGCTGTTCTGCTCCTTGCTTTGTGCATGTGACAAGACATCTTGGAGAGCTTTCCACAACAGCACTTAGAGCTTCCTCAGGCTTTCTGACAGCTGCAGAAGAGCGAGGAATCTCTTGGACGGAGGAAGCTTTGCTTTCTCCCGGTTAGATGGTCAAGGAGAGCAGGCGGCGGAGAGAGAGGCTTGGGGGCCGGGCTTGGGGCC